ACATCAATCAATCAAATATCAATTTATGGGCCGGGCTTTAGCACAGCAGGTTAACCACCAGCTGCAGTAAATGTTTGCTGTGTATGTGTTCTGCGGTCTGTGCTGAGCTCCCTTTATGGTGAGAAGGGTGGAATATAAATGCTATATATCAATCAATCAAATACCAGCTTATGGGCCTGGGTTTAGCACAGCGGGTTAACCACCAGCTGCAGTAAATGTTTGCCGTGTATGTATTCTGTAATCTGTCCCAAGCCCCCTTTGGGGTGAGAAGGATGGAATATAAATGCTATATATCAATCAATCTATCAAATACCAGTTTATGGGCCGGGCTTTAGCACAGCAGGTTAACCACCAGCAACAGTAAATGACTGCTGTGTATGTGTTCTGTTATCCACCCTGAGCCCTCTTCAGGGCGAGAAGGGCGGAATGTAAATACTGTAAATAAAATTTAAAAAATACTAGTTTATGGGCCGGGCTTTAGCTCAGTGTGTTAATCTCCAGCTGCAGTAAATGTCTGCTGTTTATGTGTTCTGTGATCCACCCTGAGCCCTCCTCAGGGTGAGAAAGGCATAATATAAAAACTGTAAATAAATAAAATACTAGTTTATGGGCCGGGCTTTAGCACAGCGAGTTAACCACCAGCTGCCATAAATGTCTGTCGTGTATTTGTTCTGTGATCCACCCTGAGCCCTCTTCAGGGTGAAAAGGCAGAATATAAATACTGTAAATAAATAAATAAAATAGCAGTTTATGGGCCGGGCTTTAGCACAGCGGGTTAACCACTAGCTGCAATAAATGTCTGCCATGTATGTGATCTGTGATCCACCCTGAGCCCTCTTCAGGGTGAAAAGGCAGAATATAAATACTGTAAATAAATAAATAAAATAGCAGTTTATGGGCGAGGCTTTAGCACTGCAGGTTAACTCCCAGCTGCAGTAAATGTTTTCTGTGTATGCCTTTAGCCCAGCTTCCGTCTACCTAGCAATTTTGAAAAGAGCAATGTGAGTAGATAAAGAGGGATAGTCAATGGACGCAAACATGATGCTTCTTCACTCTAATGGATAAGATAAGGGCTGGGCTTTAGCACAGCAGATTAACCGCCAGCTGCAAGTAAATCTTGGCAACCGGAAGGTTGACAGTTCAAAGCTCGGGTCAGGGTGAGCTCCTGGTGTTTGGCCCAGCTCCTCTCTACCAAGCAGTTTCAAATATAGCAATGTGAATTGATAAACAGGGATAGTCAATGGACACAAACATGATGCTGCTTCACTGAAATGGATAAGATAAGGGCCGGGCTTTAGCACAGCAGGTTAACGATCAGCTGCAGTAAATCTTGCCAACCAAAAAGTTGACAGTTCAAAGCCCGGATCAGGCTGAGCTCCTGGCCTTTGGTTCAACTTCTGCCTACTTAGTACTTTAGTAAACAGCAATTTGGGTAAATAAAGACGGGTAGTCATTGGACACAAATATGATGCTTGATTGTAATGGATAAGATAAGGGCTGGGCTTTAGAACAGCAGGTTAACCACCAGCTGCAGTAAATCTTGCTAACTGCAAAGCTGAGTTCAAAACTTGGGTCAGTGTGAGCTTCTGGCCTTTAGCCCAGCTTCTACCTACCTAGCAGTTTTGAAAACAACAATGTGAGTAGATAAACTGGGATAGTGAATGGAAACAAACTTGATGCTGCTTCACTGTAATGGATAAGATAAGGGCCGGGCTTTAGCACAACAGGTTAATCACCAGCTGCAGTAAATCTTGCTAACTGCAAAGTTGACAGTTCAACGCTTGGGTCAGTGTGAGCTTCTGGCCTTTAGCCCAGCTTCTGCCTACCAAGCAGTTTCGAAAAAAGAAATGTGAGTAGATACATAGGTGCCGCTTTAACTGGGGAGGTATTTAGGGCACTCAGAAGGAAATGCCAAAAATATGATCAAGGAGGAAGTTTACAAACAAAGCTCTTTGACAGGGAAAGTGGAGCAACAGCACTCCCTGTGGCTGCAGACAAGCACAGCCTCCAAAGATGCCGAAGATGGGAAAGCCTAGATATACCTCTATCTATTTACGTTTGTATGTCTTGTCAGTGTGTAACTACATTGAATGTTAGCTGTGTATGTGTTTTGTGATCCTCTTTGAGTTTCCTTTGGGATGAGTAGAGCAGAATATGAATATAGTAAGTAAATAAATATTTTGCATTACATATGCTGATGGCCCTGAATTTTTGCTGGCCTACAGAAAGGAGAACTTGCCTGCTGGTGGTTATTGTGGGGTTGACCCATGCCAAACAATGTCTGCATGGTAGAATATATATTATTTTGGAAATTGAGGTAGCAAATCCCACAATTAATTGGAATTTGCCGCTTTTTCTTGTCGCCCAAGCCCTTCGTCTGGGAATCTGAGGCTCACCATTTACTTCAGACTACATGGATGATGGATTGGGGATTATGGGAGTAATAGCCCAACATCATCTATTGTTTGTCCTATCCGTCAGAGCGGGGTTTGGGTCCAATGAGGGTTTTTGGGTACTTTCGGAAAATGTATTTCCGTTCTGCAATCACCCTGCCACAGACATGAAATGTGACGGCGGTTCAAGAGATTGTTGTCTCCTGCGTGTAACCTTCTCGTATGTTCCCGGAACAATGTCCATCTTTTTCCTTTTCGCTCAGAAGACATTAAGCGAGATGGAGTCACTTCTTTTGAGTGATGGCGTAGAAGTATTTCACTCTGAAACTCTTCTTTTTCAACACATAGTGGGGTTATAACAGTCCTGATTTCCCCCCTATACCACCATAGACATAGTTCTCCAGTTATGACAGACTACAGATCCTATCATCCCCAGTGGGTGGGGAAGATGGGAGTTGTAGTCTGAGGCTTCTGGAAGGCTATGGTGGGGGGTTGGTTTGCACCCATCTATACTGTAGGCTGAATGCAGTTTGACACCATTTTCATGGCAATAGAATCCTGGAAGTTGTAGTTTCATAAGGTCTTGAGCTTTCTCTGCCAAGTAATGCTGGTGCCTTATCAAACTACAGATCTCAGGATTCCCTAGCATTCAGCCATAGCTGTTCAAGTAGAGTCAAACTGCATTCACTCTACACTGTATGGCCAAACTGAGGCCTGGGGGCCGGATGCGGCCCCTTGGGCTCTTTCCTCAGGCCTTCCTCTCCCTCACCATCCTATCCTTCCTTCCTTCCTTTTCTCTTTACTTCCTCCTTCCCCTCGCCTTTCCTTCCTTACCTCCTCCCTCTTGCTCCATGTTTCCTTCCCTTCCAACCTTTCTCCTTCCTTCCTTCCTTCCTTCCTTCCTTCCTTCCTTCCTTCCTTCCTTCCTTCCTTCCTTCCTTCCTTCCTTTTCTTCCTCCTTCCCTTCCTTTCTTCCATCCTTCTCGTCCTCTCTTTTGTCCCTCCTTCCCTTCCACACTTTCATCCTTCCTTCTTTCCTTCTCTCTTTCCTCCCTCCCTCCATTCCCTTCCACTCTACTGTCGTTCCTTCTCTTTCTTTTCTCCTTCCCTTCCTTGCTTCCTTCCTTCCCTTCCACCCTTTTGTCCTTCCTTCCCTCTTTCCTTCTCTTCCTCTTTCTTCTTCCATCCTTCTCTTCCTCCCGTTCATCCTTTCTTCCCTTCCATCCTTCTTTCCTTTCCTCTTTCCTTCCTCCTTCCCTCCCTCCCCTTCCACTCTTTCATTCTCCCTTCCCACTTTCCTTCCTCCTTCCCTCCCTCCTTCCCTCTCTCCTTTCTTTTTCTTCCACCTTCTCTTCCTCCCTTTCGTCCTCCCTTTCCTTCCACCCTGGTCAAGTGGTCCCTGGTCAAAGTGGTCCCTAGTGAAGTGGTCCCTGGTCAAAGTAGTCCCTGGCTAAAGTAGTCCCTGGTCAAAGTGATCCCTGGTCAAAGTGGTCCCTGGTCAAAGGGTCCTTGGTCAAAGTAGTCCCTGGTCAAGCTGGTCCCTCATCAAGTGGGCCTTGGTCAAGAGGTCCCTGGTCAAAGTGGTCCCTTGCCAAGGGGTCCCTAGTTATGTGGTCCCTGGTCAAAGTTGTCCCTGGTCAAGTGGGCCTTGGTCAAGAGGTCCCTGGTCAAAGTGGTCCCTGGTCAAGTGCTTCCTGGTCAAAGTGGTCCCTGGTCAAGAGCTTCCTGGTCAAAGTGGTTCCTGGTCAAGTGGTCCCTGGTCAAAGTGGTCCCTAGCCAAGGGGTCCCTAGTTATGTGGTCCCTGGTCAAAGTTGTCCCTGGTCAAGAGGTCCCTGGTCAAGAGCTTCCTGGTCAAAGTGATTCCTCGTCAAGTGGTCCTTGGTCAAGAGGTCCCTGGTCAAAGTGGTCCCTGGTCAAGAGCTTCCTGGTCAAAGTGGTTCCTGGTCAAGTGGTCCCTGGTCAAAGTGGTCCCTAGCCAAGGGGTCCCTAGTTATGTGGTCCATGGTCAAAGTGGTCCCTGGTCAAGAGCTTCCTGGTCAATGTGGTCCCTGATCAAAATGATTCCTGGTCAAGTGGGCCTTGGTCAAGAGGTCCCTGGTCAAAGTGGTCCCTGGCAAAGGGGCTCCTAGTTATGTGGTCCCTGGTCAAGAGCTTCCTAGTCAAAGTGGTCCCTGATTAAGTGGGCCCTGGTCAATGTGGTCCCTGGTCAAAGTGGTCCAGGTCAAAAACAGGTTTGGAACCACTGGTCTATACTGATAATTTAATGCAGTTTCAAGCATCAAAAAAGCACCATCTTTTGTTTTGGTGTGCTCTACTGATCCTAACCTTATGCAATGAGGTTCTTTGGTTGCTTGTGGAATTCATATCAAGAATAAGTGAGGGGAAATTACTTTGTGCCTCTGTTTCTTAAACCGAGTTCATGATAATCTTTGCACGCGTGGCTTGGGTGCACCAGTGTGCTTTAATCCCAACCCCTCCAAGGCAGTAATTTCAAAAGCCAAATTATTGATATATTTTTTTTAAAAAAGAAAAAAAACGGAGGAGGGAAAGGGAAGAGGTAAAACCCACGGCAAACGAAATGATTAGACAATTAGACTGATATCTACCAGGTAATGCAGTTTGTTTACCATAGCGTGTCCAATTCCTGCGTGCTGTATGCATAAAAAAAATCAAAACAAACGAAAAACAAAAATCGAGAGGGGGAGGGGATAAACGGGGGAAAAAAATGACCAACCATGAAAAGTCAAGGGAGATAAAAAAAAAAAAGAGGAAACATAAATTTCCCCAGTTCTCGTGACCAGCAAAACGAGAGACACTAAAACCACACGATCGATTCCCCACCTCCCGGAGAATGCCCGCCACCCCCAATACGACCCCCACACCCCAACTTTCTACATCTTGGTTAGTAAGGAAAGAACGGAACAAAAATGGAAAAGACTGGAGAACGAAAAGAAAGGAACGACCGACATTCCGTGAATGGCACAAAAGGTTAGTTTCGGTTCCACCGGCTGAGAAGTCCGAGTCTTCCCCGCGGATCCTGCCCGTGAGTCCAACCCAGCCCAGAAGCGTGTTAGTAACACACAACGACAAAAGTTGCCAACGCAATCTCTAACAAGGTGGTTTGGGGGGTTCGGGTGGGAGGGTGAGGGTGAGCGGGGTGGGAGGATGGAGGGACAAAGCAAGGCCCATGTTAGCAGTATTAGTAAATCCAAGGCGGCCAGTTTTGGAGAGGGGAACGGGAAGGAGGGAAGGAGGGGGGCACTCGGTGGGCCTGGCTGGGGTTTGTCCCAGTTGTGGTGTGGGTTCATTTTGGAAGGGACACAGTGGTGGCCGGTGGGAGGCTGCTGCGAGGAGATAAGGGCTGGATCCAAGTGGCTTGGAGAAAGAGAGAAAGACAGAGAGAGCAGCCAGAGGTGCCGTGGGGACGGGGACGGGGACAACTTCCCCCAGTCTTCCTTCCCCAGGGATTCAACAATGCCAAGGTGTCGCTTTCGTTGTCAAAAAAATAAATAAAAAGAGGGGAAGGACGGAAGAAACTGTCAAGGGGTTCAGCAGAAAGAGAAGGACCAGGAAGAGAACAAGGAGGGGGAAATGTCAGTTCTGTGAAACCCAATGGCACAGCAGAGGAGCAATGTGCAGCCGTCTAGACATCATGGGACTGCAAAGCCATCTACTCCTACTACTTGCTTTTGGAGAGTGACCAGAGGTGGCTCGTCCATTACGCAGACTAAGCATTTGCAGTACACTTTGTTTTGCCAGGGGTGCAGGGGCACCTATGTAAATGCTCCTCCACGGTTGTGAGTCGCAACCTTTCTCTGCCTCCCTCTCCCTCTTGAAGGCGACACGGAGATGGGGCCTCGCTTTGGTCTAGACATCATGGGACTGCAAAGCCATGTACTCCTACTACGTGCTTTTGGAGAGTGACCAGGGGCGGCTCATCCATTACGCAGACTAAGCATTTGCGGTACACTTTGTTTTGCCAGGGGCGCAGAGGCACCTATGAAAATGCTCCTCCACGGTTGTGAGTCGCAACCTTTCTCTGCCTCCCTCTCCCTCTTGAAGGAGACACGGAGATGGGGCCTCGCTTTGGTCTGGGCCCTTGACTCTGCCGCCTCCTTTCTGGCTCTGCACATGCGTGCCGTGGGCTTGAAACACTTGGACGGGGAAGGTGGGCTCCTCTGTTTCCCGCCACTCGGTGCAGCGCCACGCGTGAGGAAGCGAGAGCAGCTGTGCGCGAGGCACTGAAAGCCACGAGGCCAGAGAGGAGGAAGGTTTGGCAAGGTGCCTGTGCCTCAAAGGGTCCCTCGCCAGGCTTGGCTTCCAAGCCTGTCGCCCAGCCTGGTGAGGAAGGAGCGTGGAGCAGCGGAGGGGCGCAATGTATTGTCGGGCATGGCCTCATGCAAGCTGCTCCGAGTCCCCTTTGGGGGAGGTGGTTTTTGTTTTTTTTGTCGTGTCAGGAGCGCCTTGAGAAACTGCAAGTCGCTTCTGGTGTGAGAGAATTGGCCGTCTGCAAGGACGTTGCCCAGGGGATGCCCTGATGATTTGATGTTTTTATCATCCTTGTGGGAGGCTTCTCTCATGTCCCTGCATGAGGAGCTGGAGCTGATAAAGGGAGCTCATCCGCCTCTCCCTGGATTGGAACCTGCGACCTGTCGGTCTTCAGTCCTGCCGGCACCCACACCGGGGGGTCCACGGGGGAGGTGGTGGCAGGGTATAAATAAAGAGAGAGGGGGCCAGGGGACAGTTCCACCTTGTCTCCTGTGCTATTCTAATAATAATATAATATAATATAATATAATATAATATAATATAATATAATATAATATAATATAAATATATATTGTGTGTGTGTGTGTGTGTGTATATATATATATATATATATATATAATATTATAATTTAATGCAATATAATAATAATATGACACGGTAATAAATACGCTCTTTATTTGCAATAGCAATATTTCAGGTTTTTTGGAGTGCTTTCTCCACAGACATCCTCTCTGGCCATTGAGAAGAAACCTCTGATTTTGCCTTTATATTACATGTAATATTACTAATAATATTACGATATAGTGGTATGGTGCAATATAGCAATGTTTAATGCTTATATTGTACTATGCTAATAATATAATATATTGTATGTTATATATATATATATATATATATATATATATATATATATCACAGCATTTATATGCCGCCCTTCTCACCCCGAAGGGGACTCAGAGCGGCTTACGAGATATATTTTCATACAATATATTATATTATTAGCATAGTACAATATCAGTATTATATATTACTATATGGCACTATACCATTATATTGTAATATTATTAGTAGTATTACATGTAATGTAAATAATTATAATTATAATATTGTATTATTATGTCTAGTATTATATTGTATTACATTATAATGTGTATATTATTGTATATACATATAAATATTATTGTATATACATATAAATATTGGAGCCCCTGGGGGCGCAGTGGGTTAAAGCACTGAGCTGCTGAGCTTGTTGATCGAAAGGTCGCAGGTTCGACTCTGGGGAGTGGGGTGAGCTTCCGCTGTCAGCCCTAGCTTCTGCCAACTTCGCAGTTCGAAAACATGCAAAATGGGAGTAGATCAATAGGTACCGCTCAGGTGGGAAGGTAACGGCGCTCCATGCAGTCATGCTGGCCACATGACCTTGGAGGTGTCTACAGACAACGCCGGCTCTTCAGCTTAGAAATGGAGATGAGCACCACACCCCAGAGTCAGACATGACTGGACTTAATGTCAGGGGACAACCTTTACCTTTACCTACATATAGATATTATATGTATATACAATATATTATATTATATTATTAGTAAAGCCGCTCTGAGTCCCCTTCGGGGTGAGAAGGGGCGGCATATAAATGTCGTAAATAAATAAATAAATAAGTTATTATTATTATTATTATTATTATTATTATTATTATTATTATTGCTGGCTGGGCTGATGGGAGCTAGCTGTCACTTTCCAGCAAACTCTGGAAGGCTGCGTGATTCCCATTCCTCTCAGAAGCTATTCCAGGAAGGATTTTGGAGACTTACTCACACACACACATGCATGGGGGGCACTCTGTCCCAGCTCAGAGGCATCCTCCTTATCCTGCTCCGTGCTCAATCTTTTCTCCATGTCAGGAGTGACTTGAGAAACTGTAAGTCGCTTCTGGTGTGAGAAATTAGCTGTCAGAAAGGACGTTGCCCAGGGGACACCGGATGTGTTACCATCCGGTGTGAGGCTTCTCTCACGTCCCTGCATGGGAAGCTGGAGCTGACAAATGGGAGCTCACCCCGCTCCCAGGATTCAAACCACTGAGCTTTCCATCACCAGTCCTGTCTACACAAGGGTTGAAGCCATTGTGTCACTGGGGGCTCCTTAATGCAACTGTCTTGCCCCCAAACACACAATTGTCTGTGTTGTCCAAGATGATGAAGCTGTTGGAGGAGATAGCTTTCAGCACCTTGGACACCTCCTTCCATATATAGATGCATGTGGAATCAACATGGAACGCACCAGCAGCTTTTAGCTGATGCTATCAGGTTGAGTCATACTATTAGTATTAGTGTTGTGTTGTCAAAGGCGTTCATAACAAAACTCTCAAAATTTCATTATAAATGGCAGCTCCTAATTGGTTCTATCATAAAAATCGCCAATCATGAAATAATAATTAAATTTTGAAAGTTCTGTTAGAGTTCTGAAATTTTCACCACCAGAACTTGAGTTTTGTTCATAACAAAACTCTCAAAATTTCATTATAAATGGCAGCTCCTAATTGGTTCTATCATAAAAATCGCCAATCATGAAATAATAATTAAATTTTGAAAGTTCTGTTAGAGTTCTGAAATTTTCACCACCAGAACTTTAGTTTTGTAAGTTTAGAACCATGGGTTGCCCAGGCCTAGTTTCTATATCTGTGGAATGTTCAGGGTGGGAAAAAAACATTTTTCTGTTGGCAGGTGTGAATGTTACCATTGGCCACATTGATTGGCACTGAATGGCTTTGTAGCTTCAAAGCCTGGCTGTTTCCTGCCTGGGGGAATTCTTTGTTGGGAGGTGTGAGCTGGCCCGGATTGATTCTTTTCTGGGCTGTATGGCCATGCTGTAGAAGCATTCTCTCCTGACATTTCATCCACATCTATCACAGGCATCCTCAAAGCTAGGCAAGTGGAGTTTCTATTAGGCCTGGGCAATGCATGGTTCTAAATGGTTCTGAAGTACTTACAAAACTAAAGTTCTGGTGGTGAAAATTTCAAAACTCGAACAAAACTCTCAAAATGTCATTATAAATGGCAGCTCCTAATTGGTTCTGTCATAAAAATCATGACAGATTTTTATGACAGAAAAATCTATATAATCATGAAATAATAATTAAATTTGAAAGTTTTGACAGAGTTCTGAAATTTTCACCACCAGAACTTTAGTTTTGTAAGTACTTTAGAACCATTTAGAACCAGGGATTGCCCAGGCCTCGTTTCTATATCTGTGGAATGTCCAGGGTGGAAGAAAGAACTTTTGTCTGTTGGCAAGTGTGAATGTTACCATTGGCCACACTGATTGGCATTGATTGGCTTTGTAGCTTCAAAGCCTGGCTGCTTCCTGTCTGGGGGAATTCTTTGTTGGG